TCTCTGTTTAGAACATGCCTTCTTCAACTTCTTTTCATGTTTTCCTTCATTGAGCGCCAAAAAAAAAGGTTTCTCCAGGGCAGACTTAAAGAGTATGCTTGAAATCAGACAGAAATACATAAATTTCTAGGAAATATTTACATGACCTTTTAACCATTTTTGTAGTCAGCCATCAAGGGCTAACTTTAAGGACACAAGGAGCCATGCACTCTTAAAAGTTTAAGCTCTCCCAAATAAAAAAAAGTATACATGAAGAAGTGCAAATAGAATAATAGAAGGATTTGATTCACCTTAGTGGACCAAATGTCAGGAAGCCTTTCAAAAGTAAGTTTTGAGGGATTGAAACCTGTCTTTGTTGTTAAGATATTTTGTCACCTTAAAAAAGACAATGGACTACTGTCAAACACTGTTTTTTTTGATATTCCCAAAACAGCAACATGTGATGTGCCCTCTCAGGTATAATTTACATCACATACAAACATTGTAATTGCTTGTTTAAGTCTTACCGTAAGTCACTTTTAAAAAGATCCACAGGCATTGTAGAGTTCAAGTTTTTATGTCTCCAGTCAGTCTGTTCCTATATACAATCAGGGGAAGACAATAGAGACTGACAGGTGTGTCCCTCTTCACTCAGGCCTCTTTACCCCGCAGTGAAGCACAATAAACAACCCCAGAGTTCGTCTTCAATCTCCATCTCTTCTGTTTGAATCAGGCGGAGACCAAAATCACACCCAGCCATGCTAACAGACTTTAATAGAGTGTAAACAACCCACCCTCAGGACCCCAGGCATTTGGGTGGGGCCCCCAAACATCCCCTCTCTCTCATGGGTCTTCAAAGGTACAAGTGGGGATAGGGTGTGTGTGTGTGGGGGGGGGGGACTGAAAGGCAGTGGCCAGATGTTTATTTTTGAACTTTCAGCCCTGGTTAATGCTTAGAGAGGGAGCTATGTTTGGTGGGTCTGAAGTCTATAATTTTTAGTTTATGTCGCCTCTGTGGGGGCCATATTCTGAAATTCTATCTGATCTCTCCAAGTTGTTTATCAAATGTAGTCCTATGTAAAGATAAAACAATTATATGTGACTTTAATGTTCATGTGGAACTGAAAATGTAATGATTGTCTTAGCATTGCTTTTGTGTCATGATTGGACACCTTTGGCTTCACCCAGAGTGTAAACAAGCTTACTCACTGTTTGAACCACAACCTTAACCTTGTTCTTGCATATTGCCTTGAAACCAAAATCTTAAGTCTCCCCCCAAAATCCCCTTTTTTCAGATCATTTATAAGTAACATTCAACTTCCTTCTGCCAGAATATACTCCCCTTGTCATCGTTCAAAAAAACCACACAAAAAAACAAAAACCTATCCAGATAAATCGCGCCATCCGGATAGAGTGAATTTGATTGTGGTTGGATGAGAAGTATAAACATACCATTCCGACACCCTATTGGTTTGTATGTGATCCATCACGTATGTAGCCTAGTACTGTGTGTGACTGTGACAGACTGCTAGGTTCTACTCTGGTGTGTGTGTGTGTGTGTGTGTGTGTGTGTGTGTGTGTGTGTGCGTGTGTGTGTGTGTGTGTGTGTGTGTGTGTGTGTGTGTGTGTGTGTGTGTGTGTGTGAGTGTGTGTGTCAGTTGTTACAGGATTGAGTCCAAAGTGTTTGTTATGTCTTCTAGTTAAATTTGACATTGTTGCCATTAGCTATAGAATTGAGCATAGTACAGGAAGGTATCAATCAGGATGATGAGTTATTTTTTATTTTTTTATTAATCACTTGGATTAATCATTAATTTTGACAGCATTAATGTATACTGTATATAGACAACCATACAAGGGTAATTGTTACTAATCCTACCCTGGGTACACCAATTTTCTTGTCCAGTTTTGTTATCTTACATCTGTTGCCCTCACAGATTCCTGCAGATAAGCGTGGATGTACATTTACATTCCAATAAAGTCTATTGAAAACATGCCTCTGAAGTTTGATTTTTTGCAACATTACAATACTTAAAGGCAACTAGTCATCATATCTTCCGCTCCATGAAACACATGTTAATGCTCAGTAGTACACATATATGGTTCTTTAATGTATTTCCATTGTATTAAAATGCGTTCATTTCCAATGGGCATAAATGCTAACATACCATCTGAAGCTAACATCTCAAAATTACACTCAGTTTACTGCACATTGCACATACTGCACAAGTTCACTTTTGCTTTAAATCTTATTGTATTTTATTTACTACCTTTTGCACAATTTAGAATGTATTACTGTAAATATTATTTATCTTATTTTTACCTCATTTTATTTATCTATTTTTACCTTATCTTATTTTACCTTATTGGTTGTATTGCACCGCGGGACGGAGACAAACGAAATTTCGATTCCACTGTATGTCTGGCATATTTTGAAATTGACAATAAAGGTGACTTTGACTTTAACTATGCGGCTGAAACAGCTGCTTCCCAAATTTTTTAACATAAACATTTTAATATAACATTATAGTCATTATGGCCTTTACAAAAATGTTTTTTGGGGAGGTGGGTAGTGCACTATATGCCCCTGTGGGGCGGCCTAAGCTTTTTTCCCTTACATTACCTTTACTTTTATACTTTAGTTTTGAAACCAGTACTTTTACACTTTTACTTGAGTAAAAAGCTTGAGTTGATACTTCAACTTCTACAGAAGTCTTTTTAAACCCTAGTATCTATACTTCTACCTGAGTAATGAATGTGAATACTTTTGACACCTCTGCCCTTTACCAAAATGTGTGTTCACTAGAAGTTTGTCTGACTTTATCTATAATTAAGTAAGCAACTCCTACGGCTTTTACTCAATTCAATGTCCCAATACAAATGAAAACTCTTAGCTTTTACACTTACATTAGTCCATCTCAGCTTGATCAGTTTGTTGATAGAGCTGCAGGTTCACTGAGAGTTACTCTTGCTTTGATTACCCCCCTTAAACAGAAGATTAAAGGACAGCGGCTCGCTCCATGGTATCCACTGAAACGAACATCAAGAACATTTGAAAGAATGAAGAATGAATGACTGAAACATTTATTGCCCCTAGGGGAATTTGCCTTGCACACAGAGCAAACATTTACAGGGCAGCACATAAAAACATGTAAAAACACACTTAAGCATCACATGATTAAATGAGGGATTTCAGCGAGTTAAATAAAGTGCAGAGTGCCAATAAAAGCTTATTATGCAGCGGAATACTGCGCAGTACAAATGATGTAATGCCTCCTTTAGTCTTCATCCTGGACATTCTGTACCTGAGCCCTGAATTCAAGAGTTCATACTCTGACCAAAGGGGGTGCAAAGGGTCAGCTGTGACCTTGATGGCTTAATTCAATGCTGCGCATTTGCTTCCCAGTTACCTTGCTGCCTAGTTTAACAACATTGTCCAAGTTGTTCTTATTTTGTAAGGACAATGCTCCTCCCCAACATTGAATACAAAAGGTCAACACACTTTCAAAGTCTTGTAAAATAATTTCAGCATATGTGCTGTCAAATGTGGCCCTCCACCAAGAAAAAAGTTGTTTTCTCTGGCGAGCACGGAATGAGCCTCCGGAGCCCCCTGCAGCAACAGATGGGTGACGACACTCAGGCTTACACCATTAATATTTATGGTCTATGCTTTTCACCAATTCACCTTCCTGAACTAAATTCTAAAGTGTTTCCATCTAAACCTTCAACTGTTTTGTAGACTCGATTCCAACTAAGCTGCTTAAGCTGTCTTACCCTTAGTTAGCACTTCTTTACTAAACATGATCAACATGTCTTTATCGACAGGCTTCATGCCAGTCATTTAAAGTAGCTATACTAAAAGGCCTACTCTTGATTCAGGCACCTTAGACAACTTAAGGACTCTAACCATTCAAAGATCTTTTTAAAAGTAGTGGATAATCAGTTATGTGACTCTCAGGGGCGGCTGGGGCTCAGTGGTCTCTCAATCAGAAGGACGGGGGTTCGATCCTTTCCCAGGCAGGGTCTGAGAGGCAGACACCCTCTCTACTTTTACCTTTTTTTGATAAAGCTTACAGTTAGGGCTGGCGCAGGCTTGGACCAGCCCCTAATTGTGCTGCTATAGGCACAAAGATACCTGCTACCTGGCACACATAGCTCCTGTATCCCTCTCTCTCTTCTCCATATTTTTCGACAGGTTACTAACTATAAATCTTCATGGCCAATGCACATTAATAACATTTTTTCTTCCTGGGAGTCCTGCTGTCTGGGACCTGCCTGACTCCAAATGCTACATCTATCAATATCAGCTGTACTTTTATTATCAGTGTTATAATTCTAATGTTAATCTTAGAGCTGCTATGACATTATCAGTAGTCCCCGTCAACAGCAAAATTGTAATGTATAATGTTAGACATGTTTAACTGTTGTGTATGTTTAGTCTATGTATGATGTACATTAGGTCTTTTTATTACTTTACTGTTCGTGCTAAATGTCCACCTACTTTTACCATTACTATTGGCACTGTAGCCATCAGTCTGCTGACGTTGTTGCCATTTGTCTCCATCTTGTTTTTCAGCATTTCCCTCTATTCCACTTTCAAAGCCCAACACAGTCGCAGCAAAAGCTTTTTCAGCATACTCTGGTTCTGCTTGAGGATTTTGCCAGTTAACAGGAAGTTTAACCTTGCCACTGTTACTTTATAACAAAGAGTAGCATCTGCTCTTTTATTGGTGCCATGCAAACACAATTTTATTATTGATTCAATGAAAGTTTGAGGCTTAAGTTTTTATTCCTCTATTTAAGAATGACTTAATTATATATGAGGCGCCGGCTGGTCTAGCGGTTAGTAAGCACGTGCCATGTGCAAACGCTGTTGTCCTCTAAGCGGCCTTAGACAATGAACACCTGTGGGTCCTTTCCTGCTTCCATTCCCCACTCTCTCTCTCTTCTGACTCTATCCACAGTCCTTTCTGAATAAAGGTATTAAAAGCCCAAACATAAATCTAAAAAAAAAAATGTAGTGAAAACTGTGAGAATTTTAATGTATTACAATGAACACTTCCAACTACAGACCTATTCCTGTCAAGAAGTCACCAGTTTGCACAGAAATACTCATCCTTTTCACATAACACATTATTTTATTGTAAAAAGAATCGTCAATAAAAATGTCATTGTCTTTAAAATCATCTTTACACTTCCATCATGGGATGCTTTTGGGTTCTTTTCAACATCCCCCCCCAAAGGAGCAGGCATCTCTGGGAGAAAAATGCTTCCCAGCAACACATCTTTGCCTAAAAGGATCCAGGTGGAGCAGAGCATACTGAGAGGGGAGAGGGCCCACTGAAGTCCCGCAGGGCAGGAATGTCTACTACCCATTGGAAAAATAAATAGCTAAAATATAGACTGCATAGTTGAAAAACACCTGCTTAAACATCACACCAACTACAGAGTTCAAGATGTGCAGAGTGTAAAGCATTATGGAGAAATAACAGCCTGATGACAGCATTTTGTAACACATTCATTTGTACAAAGCCCGACAGTACAAGAAATGAGAAAATAAAAAAAGGGGCACTTTATAGTCGTCAAAGACATAATAGGAATACAGAAAAAAAAATCACATATTTTTTTATTTCTGATGCAATATGAAAGATATCAGCTTTGAAGGCCAATCGTGGTGCATATAAAAAATACAGCTGTTATATGAAGACAGTAATGGGTCCCTTGTTCCCATGTTTATGCAATGAACATAATGCATAATGAATCACTTGTAAAGAAAGAAAAAAGGCAACCATGTAACATTCCTATAAGTGTTATCAATGCTCCTCATCAAATTCCATTTAGAGTAAACTTAATTAAAATAAATAAATGTTATCTGCCATCTAAAACCTTGGGCCCCGTAGGCATTTTTCCAGATTCACTTTCTTTGATGCTTTTTGTTTATTTATTAAAAATGAAATTGTTCTTTCCTGCCCCAAAGCGAAGGATTTAAAATAAGACACGGCCTAAATACTCTGCAAATCATTTCTTCTTGCATTGGTGAGACCCTTTAATGCCCCCTAAATTTCCATTTTTTTTTCTACCTCTTCCTCTATCTCCAATTCCTCTTATTAATAGCAGTGCTTTGTTAGATTCAGCAAATGCACCACAATTGTTGGACATCCACAAAAGCAGGCAGACTAAAAGACTTATTTTGATAATGCAAGGTTACATAAGCTTGGCCTTGCAAAATCCTTGTCTGGACTGTGTCTGCGGTGTTGTTGGACAGAGGAATGTGCAATTTATCTTAGTGATTAACCATTCACGCTCAGGATAAGGTACAGCATGTCATGTAGGATATGATGATTTGTCTTGAAAATGGAAGGTGAAGAGTTTAAGTGTGCTAGATTCACTTTTTTCAGAAGGACAAGAGAATGAAATTATGTACAAGAGATAATATTACACTGTGGAAGCTGATAGAGTAGAGGCTAGCCCGGAGGTGACGCGTGGCTTTAACATTAATTAGCTCTTGTGCCAATATAAACATATGCTCTATACACTGTTAGCGAAGAGGTGATACACAAGGCTTTTATATCAGCTGGTCCCACGATGTCACCTGTATATTTAGTACCCTAAGGAAATCTCCTCAACAGTGTTTTATGGTTCTACTAAAGTCATTTGAAAGCAGCATACTTTTATTTTGAAATTAAAAAAAACGTTTAGAGTTCAGTCCAGGATTCTCGTTACAAAACAATGTAACTTTAATATCTCCAAAGCCTTCTGCTGTAATCTACTAACATATCTAGCCTCATCTGAACAGTGTGTGACAGCTGGCTTGCTGAGCTGCTGCTGCTCAACATGCCTTGGTGTTCACAAAGGCTGTGTCAGTTTACTGCCAGCCCTGTGTCTGTACCTTTAGTACGCCTTTGATAATGACTGTAACAAATGGATTTTTGATCTTGTTAGATCATGAGAGTTGAGTCTGGGTAACGCAGCTCAAGAACACAGTGTGACTTCTCTAACCTGTTAGCATTCATTCTGAAATAAATATTTACACATTTCTGCAACTAACACCAGTTAGCTCAGGTTTGCTTTGTGATTATTTGGGTAAACTCTGCTTTTGTACCAACTGTTATTGCAGTCGCAGTACAAATTAGGAACAATGAGTTAATAAAAGCTCAACACATAATTAATAATTCATGTTCATAAATCAGTAGAAATGCATACTTTTCCCACAGCAACCACACCACATTGGTTATTTGTTTTCACCATTAAAACCGAATAATTCAGTAACCCCAAAATGTACCGGTAAGTATATAACAACAATAACATAGGTCAATATGGATATGCCTCTATGTAAAAAGAGTTAACTGTCATATATAATGTAACCACCCCCCCACCCAAATAAAAAAAATCTACCACCCAAAGATCCTCTGAGGAAATCCTTTAGGTTTTTTTGCTTTAAAGGTAGATGTCTATGTAATTGGCATAAGGCCACTTGATGAAAAACATGTTTGATTTGGCTAAACCGGGGGACAAAGCAGCAGGGTTTCCCCTCTTTGCTGACCTTGTCTCACACATGCACAAATGTAATTTCTGATTAAACAAAATCTCTTTCTGCTTAAACATCAAAGTACCACTCGTTGTGAATGTTTTCTGTGGAACAAAGGCACTTCTGGAAAAATCAAGAGCTATGAATTTGAATTGAACAAACATTTGAAGTGCGTGCTTGTGTTGACGTCTTTGCTACATTTATTTGTATGTACTGTTTTGCTTTGTAATAGACTTTAACCAACCAAATCTAACCTTCAGCATTAGCTCAGCACCAGTTAGACTATCCTTAAAACCAGCCATACTTATCGACCTGATATGACTAACTTCAAACCCAAGACATTGATTTTAAAATAATAGAAATCCTCACATTTGTACTAACTTTAAATGTCATGTTTTAAAAAAAGAGCACTGGCTTGTCAGGCTCCAGAGCTGCCATTAAGCATGTTTGCTCCTTTCCAACTCTATATCTTAAACATATAATCCCCTCCCCCTTAAAATCATAACACGTTTCTCTTTGCCCTGTTTGGTATTTGGGTGACACATAAATTAGAATTCTGAGTTTATATTTGAATATTTGAGCACAGATTAAAAGGTAGTGTTGGTATGGTCACTGCTGGGTCATTGTGGGTTACTTTGTGAGAAGTTGTGTGTAATGGATCCAGCAGTTTTAGTGGCTGTGCTTGTCCCCCACAGCTGATGGCGCCTCCTGTAGGAAGGGGGAGAAGGAAGAGCGGACGGTGCGACCACAGAGAGGCTGTTGCACACGGAAGTTGTTTACCATACTCTTTTGTACTTCCTCCTCGGCTGACGTAAAAAGAAGGCTCCGAAAGACCGCCAGCTAAAGAGGACAAAAGAGATCATTTCATCCACTGAGTATGTTGTCATGCAATTTTAAAATCAATGCAACTCTCATCATCTATACTCTATACAAAAACAAACTAACAGAAAACAATGACGAGAAGGCGATGTTTAAATCTAAAACATGAGAGTTCTTTTATTAATCCATTAATTATCTACACCATTCTTCCATTAAAATTCAACAAGAAACGTTCAAGAAATGTTCCTCAAGCGAAGGTCCAGAACATCACAAAGTCATAACTTTGAATGATTCAGGGCAATATATTTTCTGTCCAATAGTTCAATCAACATACATGTATGTGTCAGTTTACAACAGACTGTCAAATCAAATCCAAAATTGAAATTGGTCTTTCAACAATGTTTATTATGAACTGGGTTCTCTGATTAAAAAAAATGATAACAACGACAACGAAATACTAACAATACTAATAATAATCATTTCTTTTTCCACATTAAAGGGGTGATGTTAGCTTCATATAATCTATCACAATAATGAGGGAGTCTTCGTCATAGCAGCAGATCGTCATAGTGAATACTCGTCGAGCAAACAAGCCTATTAACAATGAGGACATCTAATACAAAGACTACTGTGGCCTAAAATCACACAGCTGTAGAGACAAATGCAATGAGGAACACTCAGAAAAATAAAAAAAATCGCTGAGTGTGAATGTGCAAATTTAGACTTAAATCACTTTTCCCATCGTTGGTTCGTTTTAGATCTGACTATAATAACTCCTTAATTATTTTGTTTGTGTCTAAAGCTGTATGAATACTTTAAATGTTATATTTCAGCTGCAGCCCTGACGGTAACAAACAGAGCAGCATGGGTGACAATGGAATTCAAAGCGATAAGTGCGCATAACTTGAAGTCTTAACATACTACACTACTCTTTGTGTAACCTGTTTGTAAAGTATTTGTGTGTCTCTCTCCCTCCTCCCCTCAAACGACAAGCTCACAGAGCTCCACGATAAAGACATATGACTGGTCAGTAGGCCCAGTTTCAAATGGTTGGATCTCTTGTCCCAAACATAACCTGCTTCGGAGTAGGTTGGGGGTTTTACATAAGGATGGTGATCTTAGTGCTGCGTTCAGCCCAACAACTAAAGATACAATCCCTAAATGCACGCTACTCCTTTGTTTTGTCTGACCGACACAACACCTGCGGCAGAAGCAGCCTGTGTATGGACACGGACTATATATATAGTCACGGACTTTATATATAAATAATATATTATAAATATCCTTTTTGGGGGAGGGCTGGTCTGAAAAACAATACAATCCGTGAAAAGAATACGTGATCCGATCTGAACCCCAAGTCATTACAAAGGACACCTGTCGCATTATAAACTGCTTTTCACTCTATTAATGGTATTCATAAAGATTGATTATAGCAGCTTTTAGTTAACTCAGACCAATTAAAAACACTTTAATTAATATTTAAACTATGTATGAAAATAAAATAAAATAAAAACAAATAAAAAATCTTGACAATAAAAATAAAATATTTAGTTAAACCCACAGACATACCTGGTCATGGCTGACTTCTATGTGCTGCTTCATAACTATCCAGGACACAGACTCTGTCAGAGGGGGTGTGGTCAGCGAGCCATGGTACGTCCAATAGTCATTAGTGTTGGTGGGTAACAGACAGGCAGGGTCAAATCTGGTGAACTCCACTACACTGTCCTGCAGAGGGAGACAGGTACAAATAAATACATGGATATTTGGGCTGCTTGTTGAATCATTATTGAAGTTACAGGAAACTGGCATGTATAAACACAAGGCAAAATTTAACATACTTCACATTAAGTGTCTCATATGTAATATAATTGAAAATTGCATTCAAACCATAAAAAGCTAAAATATGAACTTATTATATAATTGACTTATTAGTTATAAAAGCCCCACCCGAAGCCACACAGCTCATACACATGTTGGTTACCTCTCGCAATCACTTACATTTTCTTTGTGGTCTAAACAAAATATTCCAGTTCATTCTTGGTCTTGACCATAGTCATGTAAGGTATTTGGACAGATGTGAACCTTTTGGACATTGAACAGTGGGGAGGAGCAAAACATCAATCATTGATAAATATTGTGTTTGCGCTGTGGTGTGGTATGCAGACGTGTGTGTAAAGAGAATAGTGGACTCAGTACACAATCTTGTGGAGCTCCAGTATTGAGCGTTAGGGCAGAGGACTAAAGGGATCCCACGCTGACCGTTGTGTTATTACCTGCACAATATTTGCATGGAAAAAGTTTCCAAAAGGCACCAACTACACAAACACAGATGGTTAAGGTCAAGCTGAGGTGATGTCTATAATGCAGCTATCTGCATCCACCTGATGCTCAAGTGGATGAGTTTACTTCCTGTTAAGTTGTCATTAAACAAAAAAAATAGCCATAGAGACTAAAACCTATTTTTGAACCAGGCTTTTATTTTGTCTAATCCTTCTTTAAAGTTGAGATTTTTAATATTGGGCCTGCTTTTCATCTTTGAAATATACAGTAAATAAGACTCTTAACTTTTGATATGTTGTATATTAAGGTAATTTACATCTGGCTATTCAGTGGGATCATCAAGGAGAAGTAGACATTGAGACAGACAGTCAACACTGAGTTTGTCAATGCATCTTTTCTGTGAATTATTGTGAAAAGCATCACCAGAAACCAAATAAATATAGAAAGGGCTTTCCACAAACAGATTGGGAAGTAAGTCAGTGGGGGAAAGTAGCTAAGTTGAGGGGGCAAGAGGCATGGCCCCTTACCTTAAAAAGCCCAAATATGGTAGCTTCTAACTTTCTAGCACAATTTAATGCTACTTTCCTATTAAATAAATACATTGATATTTATTATTAGATATTTCAGTAAGTTGTAAATATAAAAAAGTAGCCAGATGTGTGACTGGATGGCTGTTATACCGACAGCCTGCACCTATGGATAGCCCTGTAGATAAAAAAACAACAACAACAACAACCAGCAGATAATCTAGTCCTGTAGTTCATCTACTGAACCACTTGAGGGTGTCAGGCTGCCCTCTTGTTATTGCTTTACTTATCAATGCCAGATTTAAATTAGACATTATTAGGGTTAAAACATGTGTTCAATACACTGACAGAGGTCACCCCTTTCAGTTTAAAAAAGCAAAAATGTGGTGTGTGTACTTATAAATACCAACCTTGTGTCTGATAGCTGGGAGAGCGTCAACAAGTTTCTGAAGCCCTTCATGTCTCTTTCCCACCTACACAAGGAAAATACATGAGATTGCAATCCTAATCTTACTCCCTTGTAAATATACCAAGTAAGATATGCTGCATTATCTGCACGTGTATCATGTGAGTGAGTATGTGCTCAGGTGTTTGTGGTATCCTACCTTAAGAAAAACTCCTATTACAGCCAGACCATTTTCCTCCATCACTGCCTCCTCAAACAAACTGTACTTGTCGGAGTTCCAGTGGACCAAGTGAAGCTGAGAACAAAGCATACACACATCATGAGTCTGAGTGTGTTGGTAACACAAAAAACAGTCCTGCACAATGCATGATGGGCTGACACTATGGACTGCAGAGTGTTTACCTGATCAGACCAGTTAGATATTTAAAAATAAAAATGTTCTAAAACCGTTCTTCTTGCATCCATATAAGGTCGCTATCCTGAAATGATAAACTAATGGACAACAAAGACGCTCTATTCTCTTTGCGTACCTGTTGCGAGCAGGGTTCCCATACATGCTACGATTCTAAAAGTCATGTAGCAGATGTGTTACAAATGAGAAAGAAAGAGAAATCAAATGCAAGCTTGAATTACATATATTTAAGTGTGACATCTCATGGAGACAGATTCAAGGATTCTCTTATTCACTTGTTTTAAAGCCCATCCTGTTGGTGTGAATTCATTGAGGACTATGCTGTTTTTGATATCTTTACTAAAATTGGATCACGAATGAAAACATTTGGAACGCGTGTTTAAGGGTTTTTAACAACTTCATAAACATATAGCTGATTGAGTAAGTCAACAGGGATGATTCATAACCGGAACAGAAAGAGAAGGACAAGCTGATGTATGCATGAAGAGAGCAGAGCAGAGTAGTGTGTGTGTGTGTGTGTGTGTGTGTGTGTGTGTGTGTGTGTGTGTGTGTGTGTGTGTGTGTGTGTGTGTGTGTGTGTGTGAGAGAGAGATTAAATCATTTTTGTCTTGTGTTTATTATGTATACAATGTCCTGTCCGAAAAAGAATGAGGAATACAGATAGAAAAGAGAGTCACTGCAAAGTATGCAATTGTTGTAAATAAAGAAAACTTTTCTTGCCCACAATAACCAAAAATACATAAAAAGGGAGGTAAAATTCAGTGCAAGTGTAAAATAAGAAAAAACCATTAAATATATAGCTGCTAAGCGTGAATAAGTGAAGTAATTTTTGAGGAAAAAGCCTGGCTAAACCATTTGCAGAGGACTTTCTGTAAATAATGTGAGCAAAGACTTGGGAGGAGAAAGGTTGAACTAGTTTCCATTTCTTAAAAAAAACAGAGGGAAAGCCTTCATTAATCCTGCCAGCACAACACAACAGGGCCGACTTATCAGCATAAACTGCAAAATACAAGGAAGTACAACTGGCATGTTCAAAATTGTCTTTTAACTTTAGACAGTTGCTTTAGCACCTTCCTTAGGACTGGTCACTCACCATGCCAGAGTTTGACTCGTTGTAATGCAGTGAAAGACAGATTTAAAACAAGGAAGAGGAAGGGAGAAAGAAAATCATAAATGGGAAGATTGTAAAATTCCACAGAGACAGTCACCTGAGCTTCTACTCCCCCAGATATATTGTTATGATCACGTATAGGCAAAAAGAAATGGTATAGGAAATAAGAGAAATATCTAGGGTACGTTCCAAAAGAAACAAGGGCTTGGCAGTAAATAAACACAATAAACAGGGAAAACCGGTTGTTACACAGGTGTGCTGAAGTCAGAGGAACATCATAAGCATTAATCTTCTTTTATCCAATATGAGCCGTAAAACATTAAATCCCACCCAGGAAAAATGTCTCTGTTTTAATAGGCTGTAATGATATAAAGAGAAATGGAGAAGCAGTGCTACATCAAAGAATCTGGCAGCAAGACAGTAATAAAAAAAAGGAGAATAAACACATTGCATGATAAAGACTGTATTCCACCAAAATTGATGTAAATGAGTGATAGTCTCTGTGTTTTTCCAGAAAATTAAACAATTCAATTATTCTTTGGATTTTTTTTTTTTTATTCAGTCAACACATAAATTAACACTCCAGTGCCCAAAGTAACCTACACACACAAAGTGTTCCTCCTCTGGAATATAATTAATTGAAAAAATTTAAATGATAACTAAATCTGGTAAAACATTGAAAAAAGCTGTTATAGATGGGGGAATCTGTGTTTCTCCAACTCTTCCTAGTGGTCTTGGCAGGTGATCACAATAAGGTGAAATACTGAACAAGTCAGTTTTCAATCTTTGTCTCTCTGTCAAAATTGTGCCTGTGTCAAGTGCCTATAAGCTCAAGTCTAATTTAAAGGGAAGATAGAGCCAGTCCAAAGTTAAGAAAACACTTCACAAAAATTGATCACCAATATATTTGACACAACTAAATGTAGGAACACAGTGTCTAAGGGTAAACAATGTCCAATTGTCCAAGCAGTGCTAGCACCTCTAGCCTTTCTTTGAATTGACCCCTGAGGATAAATCAAGTTTTTATTTTATTTTATTGAACTGAATTCAGTCCTCCTTAAAAGTTAACATCCACATGTATGTGCGAAATGAGATTACTCAACTGTGGTCGAGTGGTTATATGTCAGTTTAACCAGACACAGCCAACATACAAACTCCCATTTTCTAGAATACTGACAAACTGCACTTCTCCTACGATATGTTACCTGTTCCCAGTGCTTGTTTACGTTTGGGGAGTAGCAGGGAGAGCTTGCCCATTAAACTGAGCTACAGACCAGGCAGCTATTTGTGTGGATGTCCGAGTGTGTGTGGATGGACCGCCTGTTTCTTAACACACCATGCTTCTGGCACGCAGAAACGTAATGTGAACTCAGACTATGACACAGATATTCCGCTGTTGTGTAATAAATATGTATTTCAAATTTCAAATTCAAAAACAACGCAACAAAATGTGATGAGGGCTGTGGAAATCTGGAGAGGTAACTCCGATATTGGTCTGGCCAATTTTTTGATCTAGTTTTGCAACAATGTATGCACAGCCACAGAAGGTCCTATCTGTGAGTTTATTTTTTGCAATATGCAGAAAGATGTTTTGTTTGCCTTGTTGTTCAGCCTTAACTTCAATATATGGCACAACATAAAAAAATGTAATTACTTTTTGTTTCGTCTGTATTGGTAAATCTTTATACACTATATAACAAAAGTTATGTTATGTTATAAATGCTTTATCTGTGACAATGAAAACCACTGCAACCCCACCCCCACACACACAAACAATTTGTGAAAGGGTGTATTATATTTTTACAATGGAAAATGGTTGAAAGACACCTCTTCCCTTTGTCCTTTTTATTCAGTTAGTTTTACAGCAAATATGATTTTCTGTTGTCGACTACATATTCAACATATCCTTCATCCGTGTCACTGCAAGTTCAAGGTTAATGTTTTATATGTAATTGAGTTAGTGAATGCATGTCATGATGTTATGTTATAAAAAAATACCTCTGCAGGAAATAGCCTCCTGTCCAATGTGTGCTCTGACCCCCAGGCATTGCTTTCACCCCAGTGGAAGTGGAACTGGCACAGCCTGAATTTGTCTTGCAGGGGGCCCCCTTTCAGTGCTGCACCGGGGAGTACAAGGACATGTTATTTGCACTTCAAACTTTGGCTCATAAAGATTACACAACTTTTTTATAAGTAGGACATTTTTTTCTACAAAAGGAATAAGATCATCATTTTCCCTACCAATCATTTTCTGAAATTTTAATAATAATGTGCTGATCTATCTATTCCATCTGATCCAGTGGACAAGAGCCGTCACTCTGTGTGTCACTGTGAAAGAAGAGCCAAGACTGCAGTGTACTACTTACCCTTCACTGACAAAAACATGAGTTACATAGAGCTACACCAGGCTTCATCATCAAATAATCAGTCTCTCTGAGACACAAAATACATCTTCCATTTCTGTTGAAATCTATGATCCAAAAACACATTTATGCTCTTTTGTTTCTTAGTTAGTTCAATAACTGTGCAGATGTTCAGTTTAGACTGACTACAAGTAAACATCTAATAAATGGAAGAATATTCACAAAGTTAAAGTTAATGAAAGGTAATTCATTATTCTTTCAGGAGGCAGCAAATCTCTCAATATCTCTCATTTCATTTGTTCACCAATATATTTTAGCTACAAAAGAGATAAAAGACCAGGATAATGTGAATCTCAGTCTTGAAGAATGTGAACTTTATGCTGGAAATACCACACGTCTTTAAAATAATTATTGAAAAAAATGGTGTTTACTTTACATAAACAAAAATGGTGTTTACTTTACATTAAAAAATGTGTTTATTTTACATAAACAAAAATGGTGTTTACATAAACAAAAATGGTGTTTACTTTACATCAACAAAAATGGTGTTTACTTTGCATAAAAAATTGTGTTTATTTTACATAAACAAAAATGGTGTTTACATAAACAACAATGGTGTTTACTTTGCATAAAAAATGGTGTTTATTTTACATAAACAAAAATGGTGTTTACTTTGCATAAAAAATGGTGTTTATTTTACATAAACAAAAATGGTGTTTACATAAACAAAAATGGTGTTTACTTTGCATAAACAAAAATGGTGTTTACTTTGCATAAAAAATGGTGTTTATTTTACATAAACAAAAATGGTGTTTACATAAACAAAAATGGTGTTTACTTTGCATAAACAAAAATGGTGTTTACTTTGCATAAAAAATGGTGTTTATTTTACATAAACAAAAATGGTGTTTACTTTGCATAAACAAAAATGGTGTTTACTTTGCATAAACAAAAATGGTGTTTACTTTGCATAAAAAATGGTGTTTATTTTACGTAAACAAAAATGGTGTTTACTTTGCATAAAAATGGTGTTTACTTTACATAAATAAAAATTGTGTTTACTTTGCATAAACAAAAATTGTGTTTCCTTTGCATTTAATAAAATGGTGTTTACTTTACATAAATAAAAATTGTGTTTACTTGATGTAAATAAAGGCACTTTATTTGGGAGCCAATTGGGAGCCCCCCCCATACTTTATGTCCCAAATGTTGAAATAAAATTAAAAAACAGCCTTAAGATCATATCTTGAAATTGTGAAGTTTTTTTAAAATATCAATATTTGTGTCCTTGTCCAAAATCATGGCATTATTTCATAAGGGGATGTCTGCAGGTTGTTAAGTAAGTTAAACTGACCTAGAAACATCCAGTAAAAATATTATAGCTAGAGACAACTATCACCGGTAACGCAATGATTTTTTATTACACTTGTAAAGGCTAGCTTTCCAGTAATACTGAAAAAAACAGATATGGAGAAAGCAGTATCAAGCGTTGGCACCAGAAATATCTATGTACTGTAATGGTCATATAATGTGTCTCTCAACATCTCACTGTTACACATCTACTTTTTCTATGTGTAGCTCATTATACAAAGAATAGGTACATGTATGACGCCTTTAAAGTCATTGGTTGTGCAGCTTAAAAAAAAAGTGATTTTATAAACATTTTGGAAAATCAAAATAGTTTTGGGAATAACTGGTTCTTATACTGAAATGACCAATATCTTAAAAACAGACTATATTGGAGTTGCAGATGTTTAGTACTAGTCAGACATGAAAGTCACATGACAGTCACCAGATACACGTAGTTGTTGCTGCTTTCATCAGCTGCTTTAAGCGCCACATTGATTAATGGATTTTCCTACAGAGAGCTCTTTAAGAGAGGTGAGACGGAGGGGGAGTCTGAAGGAGATAATCCTCTTAGGTAGATGCAAAACATACAGATTTAAAGAAAAACAACTTCATTGTCCTGATCTTGACTTTATAATGAAAAAGGTCTTACTTTCTAGCTTTCAAATGTGCAATTAATTCCAAGAACAGGTGGATTTTTATTCATAAAGTATTCACAAAACAGTACATACTGGATTTGTCCGTAGTGTCGTCATACTCGACCAGAAAGGAGTAACCGTTGTTCCAGATTTGTTGGCAGGTCTGCGGGTCGTACTTGGTTAACAGAGGCTTCAGTTCAGTATCCAAGACACTCTTTCGCACAACAATGTCAATGGGAGACTGGCGATCTCCTCCTGGTACCGCAAGGGGTCCCTGCCACATGGGATGCACTGTAGAAGAGAAGAAAGCAATAGGATAGGAAGAAGAGGAATGAAATCAAAGAATGTGTGAAACAGAAGACCTTACAATGGCTGAGCATAAAGGGGTCAAGCAAAAGACTTTCAAAAACTGCTGACACCTACTTTTCATGTTGTTCTCTGCTGCTTCCTGCATTTTTAGACAGTTCATTTTTGTGAAGGGAAAAAAATTGTTTATTTCATTAAGTAAATCCAAAAAACTATAACGTTTCAGTGCTACAAAGACAAGCACAATCCTTCTTTGCTGAGCTTTTGAAAATCTGAGTGGAAGAGGATCAATTGAGCAATACCACTTCCTTCTAGTGCTCTTGCGATTTCTTAAAAGGAAATTACAAGCTGAGGGAAGTGGGCTGGCTGTACAGAAAGTGACATGCGGAATGTCCTGGCACGCCCCTAGCTCCCCTCCACAGCAGGGGAAACGGGCCAGGACCTCTGGCTGGTCAAACTGCCTGCTCGTGCCAAAGTCTGTCAACAGACATGACTTCTTTAATAACCTGAAACTGCACTCACCTTCCCTAACTCCTTTCTTCCTTTATTTTCTTTTACCCTTGAAAGCAGAAGACAACGCAAAAGACATTTTTTGAACTCATAAAATCTAAATAGTGCTATAATAAAGATGTTTTTTATCCCTCTCCTTACAAAGACCTAAGGAAAAAACATATAAAGTACACTTCAGAAATGGAAAAGAAGCAGCTCAGTCTATACTTTTTCCACTCCATTCATCCAGCACAGTACAAAAATCTTCCACTCTGAGCCAAGCTAAACAGGTCTAACCGGAAAATGACCTTTATCTTCATCAGATCTCAGTGTTCCTCATGGGGGAGTAGGTCACCTGTCTCGGTTATGCACTGACACAATGGCCCTCATTTATCAATCTGGTGTAGAAACCAGTGCAGATCTCGGTTCACAAATCATCTTACGACAGGGTCCAGGTAGGATCTATGAAATGTGTGTATCTGGCCGATCACAGAGTACAAATGACTGAGCGCTGATAGGTGTGGTGGCTGAAAACAATCGTCATTCAAAATAAGAGCCTGACCGAACAATCGGCCAGCCGATAATATCTGCCGATGTTAGCATATCCAGTGACTATCGGTATCGTCTACTTTTATCACAGATTTGTGCAGATATTACTAGATTTATTCACCAGTCAAAAAGCATTTCCTTTGAGTTTCATTGTATTAAATGGCGTAAGAAAAAAAACTGCAAGAAAATCTCTGCTGCAGTCAACAGCATTGGTGAGGGCAATCAAATGAGTGATATTTAACTTGTATAGTGTAGATCACAATATAATCACAATTATTTAAATTCAGGTTTAAAAAAGTGGTTAGACCTTAATTCCAACAAAAAAGCGTGTTTTAGCTGTTAAAAGAGGCAGATAGTGGCTGCGCTGATCGGTTCAGCCTCAATATCAGGCATAAGTGGCTGATGGGGCAAAGACGAACCTACACGTGTTCAAGTGGATAATGGTAAATATTTAATAGCCTAGACTCACTACTAGTATTTTGTGGCTCTGTCCATATTTGATGTCAACAGATAACAATCTGTAGATTCATATGATATCACATATGCTCGCTGTAAAGCTAAGCGTGACACAACAAAACACAAGGACTTTAGAGTTGATCATCCCAGTTTTAAAACTCATAGTGTTACAAAGCTGGATACCCATACTAAACATGGGAAAAGTTTCTGATCATGAGGTGAACGTATGTTTGAGTAATCCCAGGATAAGTCTGTAGAGTGCTCTAAACAGCTTGTTCTGCAAATCACATAGTTCCCCGAAATGAAACCAAGAATGTCTGATAAACAGTTGCCTCTTGACTGAAGTTGTTTACTTGCTTTGGCCCCTTCCGATTTTCTTCTCTTGCACTGATTCGCTTAGCTGAGAAGCCAAAGGGTGATGGGGGCCAACGCAAAAACCAGAGCAACGATCGCTCACTGACGGTCCAACTAGGACCGACGGCCGACGATCTCCTTGGTGTGTCAGGCCGTTTAAAGAGACAGCAGCTGAAACTAATCGTTTCAGGCAGAGGCTGAAAGATTTTTGAGGTACAAATCATGCAAAGCTACTATTTAGGCTTCACAGACTGACAACATGAAAGGTGAATTTAGTGTAATGTGGAATCTTTAATGTCAGGCAAGGGGATCCAATATAATTCTAGTGTTAAAATTAGTAAAGTTAACAAAGAACTGAGTACAATTATTCACATTTTTTTAGGTAATAAACGCAAAACCCATTGGATGCCTAAAAATGGCCCAAATGCTGCAAGGCTGCACAGGTGCATATTTAGTCTTCATAAGGCAACTAGTAGTTGCTGCATATATAACATTCTTATCAAAGCTGAAAGCAACAAAGAATTGATAAAAAATATAACAAATGGAATGAAGATCTTGATATTGTTGAAGGAAAATTCAAAAGTAAGGACTGTTTAAAACTTACATTAAATGTTACCACTTAAGAAAACCTACATCATTGAGTATTTTTAATGCCAAGAATATACTATAGTAGAGACAAAATTTATGAATTTGAATCCGGTTCCTCAGATAGATGTTTAAAGTGTGACCCCCTCGGACATGCCAAAATTAGGAAAACTTTGGATAATATTGAAAAATGTATCTCAAAAACCCGTAATTATAAAGGTGAGTTCTCACCAGAGATGTGTTTCTTCCAAAACTGCAGCAAAATAAGATGTACAACTGGACGGGAAAATCTATTTTCATCATTAGTTCACCAGAAGCTTATGTTGCAAAACTGGAAAAATAAGGAAGCACCAATATTTCAAAAATGGGACGCACTGATGAAATATTATTTGAGTATTGAAACGACAGTTTCAGAGGACAGCTAAAATGAAAAACAATTGAACAGTAATGGAACACAATTTATGAAGCTCTGTAGACTGAGTGGAGCAGCAAAATAACCCAGAGTCCAAATACTCTAAGGCAGTGGTTCTTAACAGGTGGGTCGCTGAGCCGTTTTCAGTTGGTTGCGAAGGTGTGCCTGGAAGAAATATTGTGTCCAAAGATCTGTGAAGGTTTTATTTAAACATGATAGTCTAGTTCGGTTTCTTAGTTCGATCACGTTTTGTACCATCTGAGGTCCAAACTGCACAATTTTTTATCAAATACAACCTGATTGATTGAAAAATATCAGAAATTTGGGTCACGACTTTTCATGAAGGAGTTGGTGGTGGGTCTCGAGGGTCAACTAGTTGAGAACCACCGGTCTAAGGAACCCCTTAATCTGCCCTGTTGTCTATGTCTGTGTTTGCGTCTGTGTGCTAGTGTTTGTGTGTTGGTTGTAATTGTTGTGCTTGTGTACTGTGATTAAGTATCTTTTTGTTTGTGGGTGAGATAGATTTTGATGTAGATGTATGGTAACTGTGTCTATCAATGACATTTTTTTTTTTTTCCTTTTTTTTTTTTTTTGAGATTTTCTCATCTCAAACCTTGCAATTTATTTTTCAAAAACTCAACATCATGGTGCCATTATTTCAGCAAGATTAAAACATGTTAATAGAACGTAAATCACAAGAAAATCTATTTATTATTAGGGTCAAAATGGTGAAGTTAGCCAGAGTGAAGCCTGTGACTAATTCACTAACTCTAAGAATCAGATGAAAACAAATAGATGCATGCTCCTTGTGGGATACGACACCCCTTGGGGAACCAAAAAAAGGCAGGCGCTGCAGAGACTGAGGGGCAGAAGTTTGCATTGCGATTGATATAAAGACACAATCAATCCTCAAGGAGAACTGAAAACAACGCAGTAAAAGGATGTCTTGACTTCAAGTCATTAAACGCTGTATGTGACAGAATCATGGAAATAAAATGTCACCAAATTTCAGCCAACAGGGACAAAGATTTTCTTGTGGGGGGAAAACCCCTGACCAACCTAGAGTTGGATAATTTCTCACAATGGCTAAGAGCATAATTTGTTTGTGGAAAGCCCTATAAGGACAGCAAAGAACATGCAATCAGACTGTCCCAAAAATAAATATGTATGTGGGAAAATGCTAAGCCAAATCCAAAACATTTTGAGACGAACCTTGGGCAGAGAGTGCCCATTGACCAACGTTATAAGCTCGTTAAGATTAAATAGGAACTATTTTATTATCATTGTTCAAGTAAAAAGTTCTCTATACTAAATAATTTCAAATATTTTCTGTGTGAGTCTTAAGTTTGCATGAGATGGTAAACAACATGGTGGTGGGCCATGTAGTTAACATCTGGACATTCAGTGCTGTCCTACTGCAGTTAAATCACCCCATGATAACCTCACTTTGATCTCACAGCTATAGGTTATTGTCATTTCAACCTCATATTCACATTGATTATATAACATTGACACGTGAAATAACATGATGTAACACATGGCTAAAACGAGGGCACTTACTACAGTCACTGACAGGATGCTGCATAACAAATAGGTCGCGGTCACAGACATCTAAAATTAGAATAAATTCATAATGACCTGTCACATTTACTCCATGACCACCGAGTAGGTAAAAGACGCCATGAAACCCACATGACAGATTTCAACAGGCCTCCGCACACATTCCAGCCAAACTGCTGCGCTAAAACACGCGTGCCCCCCGCACACTCAAGGGGCGTAGCAAGGCCAATGAAGCATCACTGACATCAGAAGAACATTAAAAATCATGAACAAAAACTGTGCCAACAGGTTTAGTCTATTTGAAAAACCGCTTCAACGCTAAAGTCCAGTTCGTTTGACCAGTGTGACCGCTCCGTATTGTGCTCAGGTACACTTCCTTGGCTTTGGCACACTTCAGAGAGGTGTGCTTCGGCACGGTACACTTCATGCACGAGCACAAGCAGGTACACAACGCTGACCTTCATTATGGAGAAATCCAGAGTTTCATGGCTGTATCTGACTAACATGACACAATATAAGACACAAAGTAGCTGTCATGTTCTCTGTGTTGTACTCTGATGTCCGCGCGTCTATTTTATTTTTGTATTTATTTATGGCTGTGTCTGATTAAAATGGCTTAAAATGAGCTGCAAAGTCAGTAAAGTAGCTGTCATGCTCTCTGTGCCATGCCGGCCAGCGTGGGAATGGCGCAGCCTTGTACTGTTTGAAAAAACTAATTACCACCCAGGTGAGATTTGAGTAGAGCGTAGGAGCAAAGAGCTGCATCAGATAGAATGGTTATAAGCGATTCTACCTTGCAAATCAAATCTGGATCCTGTAACCGAGGTTGATTAAATTTGCTTTATTGCAATTGAGGCACAAAACCTTTCCTTGGCTGGGTCAGGGCTTCTAGCTGTTGGGTTGGTTGATGGTTTTTTCACAATATCCAGCTTATCTTGAAACATCCTTCTCAAAAAAGGATTTGCCACAACTAAACCATTTCTTCTTCTTGTGTGTTAAAAAAATTGAGCTAACTAAAAAAATCTAACTACTAAAAGTCTAAACATTACCAAAAAACATCACAATAACTTCACTAGGACTTCTCTTACTTTCAATGATGTGCAGCTATAACTAGTCTTACAAAAGTTAGCCTGCAGCTCACTGACCAATCAAGACGCACTAAATTCTGATGTGCTCAACAAGGCAAGCTACAAGGCTCTGGCACGTCAGATAATACCCAATATCAAAATTTAATTGGTCAAAGAATATAACAATCAATAATATTTTCCTCATTTACTTGAACTACACAGGGATTAAATTGAAATTCTGAAGGCAGATGTTTACCTGGAGACAACACATGGGTAAAATCTGATTGGATAGAAGCTGCAATTAAAACAAGCAGCACTGGAAGAAGCTCAACTGAGACACAGTAGCTATGAAACTAATATAAACTAATGGGAACAATTCTGACAATCAACAATACAAACAAGCATATAGTATTAATAAAAAAGGATGAAATTTAAGTTTGTGATTCTGCCACTAGTGAAGGCCTTGCTGGCCTGGACAGCCCAACTCTGGAACAACTGAATCTAAGGTTTAAGGGTGTGGTGAGTACATTGTTGGGACTAGTCAGACCTGCTTGGTTACCTCAAGTATTTAAAAGTGCATATTAAAACTGAGGTAAAAGAATTTGTAAGAGGTGTGGGATGGTAATAAAAACATACTCTTTTTGTAACAATTTCAACCATTACAGTTTTCATCTTACTACCGAACGTTTTATATATTGAATTGTAACAACTTTTGCACGTTCTGTCAAATCATCTACTTAGTCAGATACATGTGGATATGAAAATACATTAAAGATATGGCCTAGGCTAGCCTATTCAATGAGGATGTGATGGGGACAGTAAAAGGCACTAAATGATCAAATGGATGGTAAATGTTCTGATAACAAAATATGAATATGTAGCGTGGTGCTTCTGTGGGTAAAGGGGCTTCAAGAGTTGCAGTATTGAACAGGAATCACTGTTATTAACTTGAAAACTTACACTTGAGGCAAGTCTCAACAGTCAACCGTGTTGGATCCAGATCCAGTAAAGAGGAAAATCCAGTCCTTAGTTTTCTACTGGTCTCGATGCACGTTTTTAATTCAGACGAAAACAAAAGTGAAGGGTCTCAAATGTTTGACATAAATATGACCCACAATGAAATTACTTTACAGAATAACCCCCTTATAAAGAAACGGAGAGTCACACTGCCTATGACGGCCGCTGTATCTTAGATTAATGCGTTACCTTTGGAGGATTTCTCATCATGATTCACTTTTTCAACATGTAAGAAAACCATGAACACAGACATGTGCCGAAATGCTTTTTCAACATTTACTTACTCTGCGAAAGCACATATTTACTGGAGCACGCCGTGAGGTTACATCTCCTGTCAGGCGTAATCCGGAGACTCTTTGCTTTTCTGGTCAGGTGTCGATGAAGCTGTGAAGCCAGCGGTCTTATTACGGATGACAAAACCACCATATTGATCCAGATCACGTCACCAGCTTCTCCACAACAGGCGTAGCTCACTTTACCGTCGTTTGGCTTAATGTCTTCCGTCGTGTTTTGCCGTGTTGTCTGGTCCACTCCTTCAAAATTAAGCCGCCAATACTGAATCTGTACAAAACATAAACTGGCTGTCTTTCTGTGTCACTACCTTTCTATTGGTCGGGATGAAGCGGGGAAGAGGAAGTCTTTACATGAGCCGGAGATCGGCTGTATGTGTACGTTCAGTATGTGAACGCAAAACCCTCAAAAGGCGTTTCTCCTAAAATTGTTCAACCCGGGTTTACACTCTCCTAGTCGACCAGAACTCAGACAAATGAGCGGGTATGGCTGTCAGTAAACCACCATGCATTCATGTGGTGTCGGAGACAACGGAAAAAAGAGTTTCCGAGTTGGAAAAAAGCACAAAAGCACACAAAAATACCTGCTGAAGACGGAACAACAACTTTGAAACTCGGGAAGAGGTGCCCGACCTGACGTCATGTTCGTCATCACAATCGTGGCAAAACATGTTTTGTTAACGATAAGATATTTTGTATTAATTCACGTATTGCACATTCAACTTTTTGATTAAATGTAACTTTTAAACAGTGAACATGTTCGTGGTATCCACGCTGTGTCTGCTGTTGTTACAACATCACCACTTTGAGGACTGAAAGCACATGGGCACACTGAAGTCTGAAGAACGACTTCCCAAATCGGGAACTACACGGCCCATCCGAGGAGCACCTGAACGCAGCATATTTTACAGGATGAGGAGGGGGTCCACAGTTAGGACCAATCGTTGATCTCCAATGAGGGGCGTTCATGATGACGGTGCAGAAGCGACCAGCTACTGCCTACTGGTAGTCTAAAAACACGGCTCATGCGAATGATGCTCACGAAAGTCCTAATAATTAAATATGAGGGCCATCTGGGTTGTAGGCAGCCATCAGGTTACAGATTTGGAGTTCTTTCAAACCATCCCTCATGCCCACATTATAATGTTGAATATAAGCCCCTTTCTCATCTCCAATTAAACAAGTTGAATGTCATTGCCTCTATGCAGTACCTCCGTCCTTAATGCACAAAAACATCTGACAAATCTCTTGTATTCAATGTCTTGGACATGACTGCAAAGTACAAAATTGTATGCATCAAGAGATTTGTGTGCCTTGAGTTTTTCTTTAGTAGACACTGGGTTTCTCCACAAGGCATACAAAGATGTCTAACCACTTAAACTATTAATATCGGCTTTACATCTAATATCATTAACATAAATAATTAAGTGAATAGAGCTGCTCATTTTGAACCTCTATAATTAACATACTGAGTTGTTTCTGCTTATACTACATATTTTGTACCATTATTACTAACATTGTAGACATAAATCTATTTCATTCATTGTTGTTGTTGCTGCTGCTGCTCTGTTATCCTTCTTCCTGCATCTCCCTCTATCCCTCTTTACAAGCCCAGCACACTTTAAGCTGATGGCACTTAATCATGAGTCTGGTTTTGGCCCAAGATTTCTGCCTTCTAAAAGGAAGTTTATTCTTGCCACTGTAATTTGCTAAATGTTGCTTAGTGCTGTGATCATGATTAATTAATGTTGGGTCTTTGTTGATAATATAACAATGAATAAGGTCTTTTACCTGCTCTTTGTAATTGTCTTGAGATCATTCGGAACTCCCCTAAGTAGTGTGTTCATCGATGGCACAGATATTTTTGCTAATAGTCACGCTTCTCATGAACTAGAATGTGAGTGTAGTTAACTCGGGAGACAGTGAACAAACGATTTAAAGGGACACAGAAGGAAGAGATATTGTTGTGTCCAGTTTAATACCAGCTGATGCTAATGCTTTTTTGTGTCTTTAATCTTGTATAAATCTTATGCCAGTGATGAAGGTGGTAAGTTATTTTTTATTACAATGAATTTGGTTCTAAGAACAGACTAACTGGAGGTATGGAAGGCTCCTGTCAGTCCAAATACACGAAATTCAGACCAGAATAGTGAATGAGATCAAGTTATTATTGTTGAAGATATGGTCTGGGGCCTGTATTCACAAACATTCTGAGAATCCTCTCAGAGAACTCCTTACTTAGCTTAAAAAATCCTAGCAAGGACTTTTTGCCTAGGAGTGATTAAGGAACACGCTCAGATTAACTTTGAGCGAGGAAGAAACAGAAACCTTTATTTTAGTGAGGAGGTGTGATTGTATGGAGCCCCTGAAGTCCTGAAAACTAAAAAAAAAATAAAAAATCTTGTGCGCACAAGATAATTATGTTATGCCAACAAGATATAAACTTGTGCACACAAGATAGTACGTAGCCTACATAGGCTATTGATACGAGTGTCAATAAGTAAGGTTTGCCTAAGCGCTTCAGTCAAATACTTTTCAAAGAACCCGTTTTCTACAAGTTTTAGAATTGTACTGTAACTTACTTTATTAACATGTACACATACAAACATGTGAACATGTTCTAAGTGCCCTAAATATGTAACCCTTGAGTAAAGGGTTAGGAATTCAGAATTTATATTTATGTCAGGAAATGTTTAAAAATAACAGTTAAAACAGTACAGTGTGTTAACCTGCAGTGTGTTAAAGCAGAAACTTCTTCTTTTTTTTAATAATATTCTGAGGTATATGTTGTAATAACATTTCAGTTATGTTGAGTCATCTACATAAGGCTGAACTGAACTATTTGATGAGGCAAATTGATTCCAAATTAAGATATAAATACAAGATACTTTTCGGGACTTCAGGGGCTCCGTATGATTGACCCCGTTGCTCGGTATGACACATGTTTTCAGAAGCTGTGATTGGTAAACCCCAAAAATTGAGAAAATAAGTTAATCATAGAATCTAGTCAGACATTGTGTAATTATGAACACTATGAAATTAGCATCTGTGATAATTTGTCAGACTTACTTATAGTATACTTATAGTGAAGTATATAGCCTACAAATGTTTGAAATCACATGTCCACTAATGTAGCCGCTGTCTGTGAAATTGAAATGTCTGTCTCTGTCTGTCAGTCTATCTACTGCCAGATATTGACTTGTCCTTGTGTTACAGCGTGGCCTTAATTCTCCTCTGGGGATTAACAAAGTATTATCTTATCTTAGATATAGGTGTATTTTCAAGGAGTCAATGTAGTTGGATTTCTTTATTGATTTCCACCAATCTGTCAGATTTGTTTGGCCTGTTTGCATTTTTCTTGTCCTCTTCTGTCCATTAGTGCCATGTTGTCTGATTAATCCATTTGCTGATATACTGTAGTTAGCTTGCAAATAAAAAATAAACGGTCCTGCGTTTTTTTGTTTTTGGAAGTGATTGTAATTGTGATTTTAATCCTTTATTCCAGTGACTGAAACCAGTTGAACTGGGTTGGCTTGGTATCATTGTAAAATATTTTATTTTTGGTAATACTATTACCTTAACCGCAGATCGGCAGGCTCATCAGGTTTGGTTCATCCTTTTCAGCAATGGGGGGGGGGGGCTTTTAATTTGAAATACTCTGATCACTTGGTGGAGATGTTCATACCTTAGCTTTTAAGTTACTTACAGACAAGGGAGGGGTTGATCTTTGGGGCGCAGCAGTCCAATTTCGTAATTATATTATATACAAATAAACAAGAGGCACAAAAAGTCTTTCACTTTGTTGAATTTATTATTTACCAAATTGGTTCAAAGGGCACTCATAGGCTTCCAACAAGTCAGTTCAAAATGAAAATGAAATTATAGTTACTGACACATGGGTTACGCTGGAGAGGGCAGCAGAAGCATAACTTCCATACGCTGTGCCAGTGGTTCTTGCATTATTTTAGTACAGATTCCTACTACCATTGAAAAAAAGTCTAGTTTTCATTAAAGCACAACTGTATCTCTGGTTCTGTTTGAGATCTCTCTTTTCAAGTCAAAAATGGTTGACCTCTTTGAACAAACCGAACCAAGTAACTCAGAAGCAACTGTACCATATTTACATTAAACTAAAACTAGCCTGGTTTTAATCTGCTTGTGCTTTGCCAGAGCCTTTAGGTTACAGTGCAGTTTCAAAACGAAGCCACTGTGATGCTCCATGGTACTTCTAAGTAACTGGTTTTTAATGTCTCACAGTGGTGGTGTTATGTAGGGCATGGCAACATATTTGCAACTAAAACATGTTAGTTCTAGAAAAGAGGTAGAAAACTAACATCCAGTTGCACAACATGGCCAAACACTCCGCGTGCTGTGCTTAAATAACCTGATAACTTCAACAATACATACAGGCAAGCACACCAGCTAGACTGTTACTGTCCCTTCACAACAAGCTCAATATAAAACCCAAGAATGATTTTGGTATTTACATTTTTTTAACCTGACCACAAAGCACAAACACACCTTGACTTGTGTTGCATGAGAGATCGCTACATTTATAAAAATGACTACAAAAAGCAATTTACCATCAAGAGAAGCATTTATATATGGACCAGAAATGAATAAGAATAACAAGTTTTATGTATTTTTCAAAAGTAGAATCTATTTACAGTATCATGTCACAGAGCAGAGGAACTATGAAAACACAAACAGTTTAGAGAGGGAATCAAAGACTAACCAGGGTAACTGTTCTTCATACCAGAGGTGCTTTATTTACAGCAACCGTCAGTCATGAGCCAAAATGACGAGTGTTCAAAGAGTTTCAAGTCTTACAGAGGACTGGGGAAGATGGGTTAGTCCAAAGCAATAATGTCATTGTCGTCATTGTTGGAAGGGGATGTTGCTGCACTTGATTGGTTTATCCTAGGGCGCTTGGTGGAGGTCTCACCAATTTCTGCATCTGAGTGCTTCCTCTTTGTACTGCCAGGCGCTGCTGCAGCAGAGCCAGACGGTGCGCCTTCCTCATCAGAGTCAACGATCATTATGTCGTCATCCTCTGCTGGAGCTGAGGGCGTTGGACAAAGGAGGTGAAAGAGAGGCGATTACTGATTTGTCTCCACAAATACAAGAGCAGAACAAAGAAAAGATTGAAAGTTGGGTTTTTATCAAGTGTAACAAATATTTACAAATCAATTTAAATTACATTTTCATTTCAAGGTCAGTCAACACAGGTGAAACGAGGCCAAGTAGCCATTCTGAGATAGGACTCTCCCTGTCTATTTTTGACAATGCGCTTCCAGAACGTGTCAAGCTCAACATAGGTTATCGACCCAGACAGGAAGTCAGACATAGAAACACATGCAGACAATTTCAAAATAAAACACCATGTACAAATTCCATAACGTATATCCCATCACTATTTTAATATCATATTAAAACAGGCCCAAATTGTACTGCAAATTAGCCTCAGAAAGGCAAAGTAACCTTTTATCTGTATGGTGTTCTCTGTATTCCTGCCTTATATTAAAGGCTTCATGTTGATCTTGTGAAAATATAAATACAGCTGCCGAGGAGTGTGCTCTGCGCTTCAGTAATAATTCCTGTAGGAC